GTGTGTGTGTGTGTGTGTGTGTGTGTGTGTGTGTGTGTGTGTGTGTGCGTGTGTGTGCGCCCTGGCTGTCATTCTCAGGAATGCTTTACATCTCTTTTGAGACAGGGTTTCTCACTGGTTTAGAGCCTATCAATTAGAGTGGACTGGCTCTTCCACACACTCCAGAGATTTCTGCCTCTCCAGTGTGGGGATTACAACCACAGGTCACTCCACCTGACGGTCTAACGTGGCTTCTGAGGGACTGAGCTTGGGTCCTCACGCCTCTGAGGCAAGCGCTTCACTGACTGACAAGGAGAGCTATCTCCCTAGCTGGCAAACTCCCTGTCTTACTGTCTCGGAGCGGAGAAGACCAACACCCACCTGTCCATACTCATTCAATGCCGCTGTGCATCCTGGGATGCCCTGACACAAAGCGGTCTCAGGCAGACCATCCCCCTACCCAGAGTCTCTTTGTTCTCACTCAGAAGAAGCCTCATTCATTCACTCATTCACTCCAATACTTTATGACCAACCGCTTTGTGCCGGATGTGTGCTGGTTGTACCTCAATGCCTGTGGCAAATAAGAAGCCCTCCTTCGTTGTACCCTAGCGGGGAGGAACAGCAGGGAGAGTGTCAGGGACCACTGAAGGCTTCTAAGCAGAGACCAAGGTCTCCCGGTGTGTGGAGGGACAGACAGACTGTGGCTGGACATGGGATGGAGAGGACAGGTAGGAGTGGCATGGGTCTACCTAAGTTTCAAGGGATCCTTTGGATTGGGGATGGGGGAAGAGGAACAAATAAGCAAAGAGAGGACCCTCAGGGTCCAGGCAACAACCTGGGCTGCGCTGGCCACAGGAGAGTAGTGAAAAGAGGCTGGAAGCTTTGGACATAGAGCCAGTAGGAGTTCCTGGCGGACTGGATGGGGAAGATGAAAGGAGAGAAGTCAGGATGACTCTGAGGTTTGTAGCTCAAGAAACTGTATAATAAAAGAAAAAGAAAAAAAAAGAAAAAAGAAAAGAAAAGATGGAGTTTCTGTCATTGGCTGGAAAGATGGGGAAAGAGGAGAATGGAGTACACAGCGGTGACATCAATAGTTTGGCTGGACATGTGGGTGGCCAGGCGCAGTGACGCACGCCTCTAATCCCAGGCAGAGGCAGGCAGATCTGATCTCTGTGAGTTCGAGGCCAGCCTGGTTTACAAAGCAAGTCCAGGGTAGCCAAAGCTACAAAGAGAAACAAAACAACAAAAACCAAGGAGGAGGAGGAGGAGGAACAGGAGGAAGCAGCTGTGGATGTGAAGCCAGAGCACAGTCTGGAGTCATCAGCATGAGACAAAAGCCACCAGCTTAAGCAGCTCTCAGAGGCGAAGAACCAGATCACTGAAGGAGGGCTACAGAGAGGGGTCAGGGGAGAAGCCAGTGACTGGGGAACAGAGGACAACTGTCTCAAGGAGAGGTGCCACAACCTAAGACAAGGCTTAGGTGGGGAACAGAGAAGAGCCTGGGAGTTGTAGGGAAGAGTGAAAAGGGACAGCTCTCCACCACAGGCCAGCACTGGGGAGAAACAGCTGCTCTGAGGGGCTGCTCCCGGAGGAGGCTGAGGAGTGGGGGCGCCTATAGCCTCTGTGGGTTCTGTGACACTGGACCTCAGCTCTGACAATTACCTCACGCCCAGTGAGCTTGAGTAAGGCACTTGAGGTCTCCATGCCTCGGTTTCCTCATCTGTCAAGTGAGAATGACAGCAAGTGAGATGACAGCAACAGACACACTTCGCAGGGAGATGTGTGAGTCCTACAGAGCAATGCCTGGATCTTGGGCAGCAGCGTGTGAAGTCTGTGATAGGAGAGGCCGATGCAAAGTCTCGGGGGGAACAGAGCTGTCATCTCAGAAGCTCAGAAGGGAAGGATGGGGGTCCATGGGGAGCAGGAGCTGAGGTGCTCTGGGAACTGGGCTAACTAGCAAGAGTAGGGGTAGACCTTAGATTGCTGCTGCTCCTAACCTTGGTGGAAGAAGCTTCCTTTTGCAGTGGGCAGCAGGCAGGGAGGCCTCTTAGAACTGGCTGGATTGCCAAGACTAAGTGGCTGCCGACGCAGTGAGCCCTACGGGACCTCTCCAGGTTCAGGGAACATTGTAGAAGATGGGATGGAAAAAACAAGAGCCAGAGGATGCTGGGGGGGGTGCTCTAAAATGCTATCCTCTGGACATGGCACAGCCAGTGTACCCCACAACACACAGCAGCTATGGTTTCCACAATTCCAGCATAAAATCAAGCCGATCCACATTCTGGCATGGCAGCTGAAGAGCTGTTGGCAATCGCTGGCTGCTGGAAGAGGGGCAAGCATCTTTCCTCAAGGGTGTGGCCACTGGTAGGCTGTCCATGCTGTAGCTGGCGGGGCCCACATCTGTGCATATGCGGGAAGCGGTTTAAAAAAGAGGAGGATATGGAGGAAGGGAAGGAAGGTTTGAAGGGGTCCCAGAGAGACTGTGAAAGGGAATCTGGAATGAATATGATCAAGATGCACTGTGTACATATGCAAAAATGTCAACGAAGAAATAAAATTACTTGCTTAAATAGTAGGAGTTAAGGACACAGTGAGATTCACCTTGAGAAAGAAAGGAAACCAGGAAAATTCACATTCCTACCCTCTGAGTTAGTGCCCAGCTTGAGGTTGGCTTCTGCCGGAAGCTGCAGTTCCGACGATGACCACTTGGGGGAGCCCATGTCAAAGCAGAAGGTACGGGAAGGCGAAAGCACAACTCCTACCCACCCACAAACACACACACACACACACACACACACACACACACACACACACACACACACACACACACACGTCTAAGTCCGAGGAGACATTTCCCACCTAAGGCAGTTCTCCAAGGAAGGTCCACGTCAGAACTGAAGCCCCCGCTCAGCTACAGGTTTGCTGTGAAGGAATAGATATGGTGGAGAGATCATCTTAGGAGCCTTCTGCTCAGACAAACAGCCTGGGATGATGCTTTGCACCGTTCTGTTGCTTGTATTTTCGTCTCTTTCTGTCTTTTATTTACGTATTCATTTTTAAAGATTTACACTTTTAATTATGGGGGGGACATAATGTGTACATGAGCGCAGGGGCCTAAAGAAGGCATCAGACCCTCTCGGGTGGGAGTTACAGGCAGCACAAACCACCCAGAGACTTCTCTCTTTGCTAGGTCTTTTTTTTTTTTTTCAAGACCGGATTTCTCTGTGTAGCCTTGGCTGTCCTGGGCTCTAGCTGTAGACCAGGCTGGCCTCAAACTCACAGAGATCTGCCTGTCTCTGCCTCCCCGAGTGCTGGGATTACAGGTGAGTATCACCAAACCCAGCTTTTGCTGGTGTCTTCTCTATCTCTCTCCTCTATTTGTTTAATCCCTTTACATAAGGATTACAGCCCCCTCCCTCCTTCTCCTTCCGGCCCCACCCTCTTCCCTCATTCCCCCTCCCCTTCTTCTCAGAGAAGGGAGGTGCCCTCCCCCAACCCCCTGCCAACCCCTGCCATCCTCCTCAGCCTAATGTTGCATCAGTACTAAGCTCATCCTCCTCTGCTGAGGCTGGACACGGCTGCCCAGCTAGGGAAAAGTGATCTAATAGGCGGGCAACTATGACCATGTCAGTGACAGCCCCTGCTCCAACTGCTAAGGGACCCACATGAAGACTGAGCTGTCCATCAGCTCCATAACTGGGCCTAGGTCCAGTCCATGCGCGCACTTAGGTTGGTGGTCCAGTGTCTGTGAGTCCCCATGGGCCTGGGTTAGTTGACGTTGTCGGTCTTCTTGTGGTGTCCTTGTCCCCTCCAGGTCCCTCTATCCTTCCCCCAACACTTCCACAGGATCCCCCCACCCCGGCTCCTGACTTGTGTCTCTTAAAGGGAAAATGTTTTGACTTTTTGACAGCTGAGCTGTGAGGGTGCAGGAGTCAACACCGTGAAGGGAGTAATGGGGGAGGGGCAGAGGGGACCACATTGACAAAGGCCCATGGGGGACTCTGAATATAGCATTTTCAAGAAGTTCAAATAAACACTGGTAGCTAGGAAGTGGGGATGGACCCCTGGTTTGCCCATCAATCCACCAAGCAAGATGGATCTGGGGCTGGGTTGATGGATGGGTCAGGGATTGAGAGTCCTTGCTATTCTTCCAGAGGGCCCACACAGAAGCACACGACCATCTGTAATTCCAGCTTCAGGGGTTTGGACAGCTTCTTCTAGCAGGCTTCCATGAATACCAAGCCCGCGTGTGGTGCACAGATAGATATACATGCAGACAAAACATTCATACACAGAAAATTAAACACACACACACACACAGATACACGGTGAATCTAAGTCATCAAACACCTACTCTTGCCAATTCCCATGCAGACCCTGGAGGTACAAACATGGCGTCCTCCTCAGGGAATTCACAACCTTTAGGCTTTGGAGAGAGGATTACTGTTGGCCTAGGGGAAAGAAGACCTTCAGCTATGAGGACTCAGCATAAGCTTGGAGTTGGGAATGGGGGTTCCACCCAGCAATCTGGTCACTTCTGGCTTCTGGCCTGTGGGGCAGGTGCGGGAGGAAAAGAGAGGATAGTTTATCTCTCCCACCTTGTCACCCAAGCTCTCAGGCAGCAGGCAGAGGCAGTGAGGAGGCTGTTGCCACGGAAACCTAAGCAGCACCCAGCCTCTTCCCATATACCGTACCACCCTAGACCTGCATTCTTACTTCATTTTATAATAACCCCAAAAGGCAATGCCCTGTGGAGAAGTACATGGTTCTAAGCTAGCTACAGAGTGTGAGGGAGGAATGCAGAAAGCTGAAGGGTCAGATCTCTGGAGATCCAAGTGTAAGCCCTGTTGAGAATGAAGCTTGGGCTGAGCAGTGGTGACTGACTCAAGCCTTTAATCCCAGCACTCTGGGAGTCAGAGGCTGGCAGATCTCTGTGAGTTCCAGGCCAGCCTGGACTACAAAGTGAGTTCCAGGACAGCCAAGGCTAAAAACCCTGTCTCAGAAAACAAAACAAACAAACAACAAAACCCAAACAAGCAAACAAAAGAATGAAGCTTGAGGCCTGAGGACACTAGAGACGCAGATGGCTGGGACATATGAAGCATACTTAGAGTAGCAGGTGTCAAAGAACATGATTCTCTGGATGCTAATTTCACAGCACAGGACAAAGAACTGCTCAAGGGAGCGGAGGAAATTTGTCCCTCTGAAGTCAGAACATCCAGGTAATCCTAGCGACCATCAGTGGCACCCTCACCTCTCTGAGCCTCAGATTCCGCACCTAAAGATGGGCACAATGGCAGCACAGCCTCACAGGATTACTGTGACAATGAAGGACAATGCTGAGAACCACACCAGGCCCCAGGATTACCCAGGGTCACCTTCATGTCCTCGGCTTATCCGAGATGGTGCTGAGGGGTCCCTACTGAACCATCCTTAGCCTCTTTCCTGCCTCCCATTCTATTTGGGGACAGGAACGAGGAGAGACGTGGGGAAGAGGAGGGTCCCTTAAAAAACAAAACAAAACTGCAGTCAGGCATTGGCAGCCATTGTCTCTTCTCTTGAACAAAAAAAACCAAAAAACAAAAAACAAATTATGCCTTTGATTTGGGCGAAGGAGGGACAGGAGAAGTGATGAGAATGATGGTGACGGAGGCAGGTCCCCTCCATGGTCTCTGAGTTCGAGGCCAGCCTGGCTTATGCTGAAACTTGTTCTATAGACCAGGCTGGCCTCGAACTCAGAGATCCCTCTGCCTCTACCTACGGAGTGCTGCAATTAAGGCAAGCGCCACCACTGCCCAGATTCCATCTAGTCTCTTAACGTTCCGTTTTCTCTCCTACAGACTGGAGCTCACCGTCTGCCCTGACAGGGCCCGGGGTGATTGGTTATGAAGGCTAGTTAAGAAGCTGGCGCACAGCTTTGGTAAACTGTGGGAGCCACAAATGTTAGTTTGTTGTCTTTGATCTCCTGTCCCAAAGACCGAGACTCCTGAATACAGGGTGAGAGGACCTGGGAGTACCAGTTTGCCAAGCAGGGTTGCTATGTGAGCCATGAGACTAGGCAGCCAGGGCCGAGTCTATCAATAGAACTCAGAACCACGGACAGCACCAGGCAGCCAGGAAGGTTCTGTGGCAACTTCTTTCTACCAGAGCTCAAGAGAGGGCCGTGATGTCCCTGGTACCGTAATAAGACTGGCAGCTGATATATTTAGTGAGGATGTTCTACATGCTAAGCACGGTGCCAGGCCTTTTAATGCATTGTCTACCGTTAACACACGGATTAGACTGAGTGTTGGATGCTGGAGGTGGCCCTCAGCCTCCATACATGGCTTCTCCCTGTGTATGCCTTTCTATGTTGAAGACGCTGGAAAGCTAAAAAACTACAATTCCCATACACCATTGCAGTTGAGGTTCTAGCTACAGATGGGTTCCGAGATATACTCAGGTAGACCGAGAAGGTGGAAGGGTGGAGAAGCTTGTCTTCCTTACTCTGGGCTGTGTTCCTTGGTGAAGAGGGAAGGAACGCTTTCCAACAGATTCAATGCCAGGCTTTGCCTCCCGGGGAGATGGGGTGCAAAGAAAGGCAAGCATCACAAAGTAAGGAGCTTCCTTGTCCTAGGTCGCCAGGGAGCCCAGCAGCTCCAGGCACAGCCCTCCTGACTGGGTGAGGCATGCTTTGTCAAGCCAGTCTGGCTCTTCTGAGCACCCAGAGTCTACCATCACAGCCATTTGGAACAGATGGAATTCCTAGTATTAAACCCCTGTTTGGATTTCATACACATACACATACACATTAAAAATAAATAAATCCTGAAAATTCCTAAGAGCGTCCCTATGTCCTGCACAAAAGCCAGCTGGACTCTCTTCTGTCATCCTGTAAAGAGGAATCTTGAGCCTGAAGAGCCTGAGAGACTGGCTAGGTCAGGGAGCTAATGGCAGCAGAGTGGGGAATGAGCCCCAGGGGAAAGACTCACTCATCAGCGCCCTCTGAATCATGCTGCTAGGAACCACACTCAAGACAAAACTGCACTGGGGAAAAAAAAAAGGCTCATGACAGAAGTTAATGGAGAAAAGGAAAACTGACAATCTGTGCTGGAATCATACTCCGGGCTTGAGTGGGTGTGGCTTCAGACAGAGAAAGGGAAGGAGGCAGGGGCTTGTATGGACTTTCCTCTAACCACCATGTCCTCCTCATAAGCAGCCTAACAGCAACAGCCTAAGCATCAAGAGTTGGTGATGCCCATTTCTTTTCCTTTTTTTCTTTCTTTCTTGCTTACCCCACCCCCCCCCAGACAAGGTTTTTCTGTGTAGCCTTAGACATCCTGGACTTGCTTTGTAGACCAAGCTGGCCTCGAACTCACAGAGATCTGCCCACCTCTGCCTCCCTGAGTGCTGGGATTAAAGGTATGCGCCACCGTGCCCGGCTTCGGTGCTCTGTTTCACAGGTAGATAAACTGAGGCTAAGTCCTAGCCCACAGTCACAAAGCTTCAGGGAAAACAGGGCCTGTGGAACAGGGAGAGATGCAGTAGCCACTCAAGTCAAGGCTAGACGCTAGAGCTGTCTAGACCTCACTCTGGGGCCCTATAGGGGTGCCTTTCCCCGTCAGGGAGGCTCTCTCTCTCTTGTTCTCAGGCTCTTGTCACCCCAACCCAGGGACCAAAACCGTTCTGCCATGGGTGAGCCGCCATGGCCATGCCCAAGCTGGACAGAGAAGGAGGTGAAGAAATTGTGGGATTATCACAGATGCTAGCCCTCCAGAGGCCAGACAGTGGCTGGCTGGGGTGACAACTTGCTTAGTGTGTGTGTGTGCGTGTGTGTGTGTGTGTGTGTGTGTGTGTGTGTGTGTGCGTGTGTGCGCACATGAATGTATGTATGTATATTTATATGTATATATTAAGAACAGCAGCTGGGCGGTGGTGGCGCA